TCTCCCCTCCCCCTACCGCATCTCAAAACCAGTCCAGCTCGTCCCCGCCTCCCTAACCTGTTCTTCCTCCCACCTATCCCCTCCTCCCACCTCAAGCCGCACCTCCACCGACTAACCTCATCCCACCCCCTTGACCTGTCCGTCCTCCCTGGACTGACCAATCCCCTCCCTAACTCCCCACCTACACTCACCTTTACTGGCCCCATCCCCGCCTCTTCGACCTGTTTGTTTCCTCTCCACCTATCCTCTCCTCTATCCCTCTTCTATCTGCCTCCCACTCTCTCCCTATTTATTTCAGAACCCCCTTCCCCTCCTCCTTTTCTGATGAAGGGTCTGGGCCCGAAACGTCAGCCTCTCTGCTCCTATGATGCTGCTTGGCCTGCTGTGTTCATCCAGCCCTGCACCTTGTTGTCTCGGATTCACCAGCATCTGCAGTTCCAACTAGTTCTGGGTATAGCCTGCCCACCCACAACCAACTGTAAAAGAACTTTACCCCATCAAACCTTTTGCAAAGGAGTTGCAAGATCGCCAACAAAAAATCCTTGGTAATGGTGGGTCTGGGTTTTGACCTAGGCTTAGATACCAAAGTGCTTTTCAAATATAGCTTTTGGGATTTAGGTTACCTTCTTTCACTGGGCATACCAACTGCTCATCCTATTTACTGCTGCTCCAACCCCGGGCCATAGGAGTGCCTGGCATTACACGTACGTTACAACTTTACATTGTCATTGTCATAAGGTCATTGTAATTCTAGTAACGATCTCTCGCTGAGACACTTGTGATGGAGGTTAGCTGCTATTGACTGAGCAAATGGTTTTTGCAGTCCAATTAAAGGAAACATTCCAAATGGTCATTATTTGTCTCTTTATCTCTGCACCAAAAGCACCATTTTTGAGCTAAACCAACACAAGGAGGTTACTCTTGTACTGAACTAGGGTGTGGCAAATGGCAGAAACAACTGAGTAACAAACAAGGAAGACAGCAGCATTACAAGAAAGAGGCTAAGACAGAAAGAAAGAGGATGAAATCTTAACACCATGAAAGTGAACACTGTCTATAACTCCTTTCCAATAAAATCTTGATTTAAGTATCCTATTTTCAGTAACAGACTATTTTATTTCAAATAATTTGAAGTGGGATTGAATACATTTTATTAAATGTTTCCATAAGGCCAGTATTTATATGTTATGATCATATTATTTGTTCTTACATGTGACATGGTTAACTGACAAAATACATGATTGAGTTTAAAAAAGTTGTGAGAGAGAGAGGAGAGAGGAGGAGGCAATATCGTGACTCGTGTTTTCACCTTTCACCCCGAGTTTCCTTAGTTCTCGATCTTGAATGAATCCACCAAACATCTGTGTCTCCATGAAAACCTCCAGAAACCGTCGGACACTTTTTGATGTGATAGACTTGCGAAATGCCTCCCACAGGAATATTTTTTCGTCTTTCTCATTGGAAGTCATATACAAAGAGTAGTGACCGACTATTTCCACAAAAAAACGGACAAAGGTTTCAGACACCACACTATTAAGACAGCCAGGATCTATGAAGAGAAATGAACAGAAACCACAATATTCATTTTGATAGGAAGGGTTGGATGAGTCCACAACAACAATATGCCATTTGCAAGTGCGTAAATATTTATGTATGTTTCCCCATTGTTACAATTCATGCAGAGTCTGAGAACTTTAAGCCAATCACTGTAAATCCGATATTTTTTTAAAAGATCACAAATCACTTCAAATTTTTAGACGTTTACTGTAACACTATTCTGAGCAAGAACTGGGGAGTTTATTTCAGTGTAGTAAATAGCATTTATGCTTCAATTAACATGACTGGAACAGGGTTATGAGACTGACTAATTTGTTAAGAGCTGGTTTGGATTTTACTGAGTAAAAGCATAAGATTTCAAGATTTTGAACAGAGAACAATAAATCTAACTATACAAAATTAGAACAATGTAATACAACCTAATATATATTGCTACATTCTAAAATATTCTAAGAACCCACAGATCAATCAAATAGCAAATCTGGTCAAGACAGATTGCACAGATTTCTCCCTAATATCTGATGGGTTGCTGACACCGTGGGTCAATAAAACTTTACAAGGGATTCCAATTCATCACTATTGAAGATTTAGGTTTAGTGTTTCCTCAAAAGCCATTCTGTTATAGATTGCCTCAATGAGGCTCACATTCTGGTAGCTCACTCTCCCATTCGGGACTCTACTCCCTTAGACTCCAGAAACTGCTCACCAGTACCTACTCACAGGCACAATTTCAACTTGTCTGCAGGCCACAAACTCCTCCACACTGGTACTGTCCCTGCATTTCTCCAAGCCCTACTCTTGCTCAGCTGCACAAAACAAATACTGCCTTTCCCTTTCTCAGCAGTACTGATCTGTTCAATGCACATGGTTGCCCCACAGCTCCAAGGCTTTTCCTAAGCCCTAATAGACTTAGTTGCACCTATTAGCTTCCTGGACTCGTCCACATCCCTTCCATGTGGAGCCTGCCACAGCAGTACCTTTTTGGGATGCAATTTCTATGCATCAGAATTCCAGCCTGAGGGTGATAACCTTCTCACCGGACCCTCCTCTATCCAGTTGCCTAAAAATGACTGTTTAGTTGCCCTTGAACTGTTTTGAGTCACCTATTGAAAATCTCTCAACAAGCTCCATGCTTGCTTCTCAGCAGTTTTAATGTAACTAATATTTTGAACAGTTAAATATAATATTGTTAGATTTTTCTGTTTCCTAAATGTTATAATGTTCAGAGGTTGCTGGCATGCACCGTATGTAATAGACAGAACAAAGAAAGTCTGTTGTGATGAAATCCTGAATGATTGCTATCATTTTGCTTTTGGTTGGTTCCTTGTTGTGCTTCATTTGGCTGTTTATATATAGTCACCATATTCAAACGTACTTCATTGGCTATAAAATACAATGGGGTGTCATAAGGTTGTGATCACACTATACAAATGAGAGTCAATATGTCTTTTTGCCACATCCAGCAATCTAAGTATAGTGATGTTAGTTTTTGCTCACTCCCCAAAGTTGCTACATTACCCCCTATTGAATAAATAAAAGGTAGACTGTGATCCACAGAGAGCAAGGATATAACTCTTGGTATTTGAACATGAGAGACATACAGGATAGTTGCTCCAGCATGTACAGCACTGTGGGGATCCTGGTCTAAACTTGAGATTATGCTTCCAACAAGGTCAAACGAGTTGGTATCTTATTGCCTGTGCCAGCAGACTAAGCCTTTTAATTTCTGTTTTTTTTTACTGTTGATTCTCACTAAGTTTGCAGTCAGGTGCCATTGAATTACTGTAAATACATTAGAAGAAATAACCACAGAGAATGCTGGAGAAACTCAGTGGGTCTGGCAGCATCTGTAGAAAGAGAAACAGTCTGGCATGACTCTTCTTCTGAAGAACTGATTCTACCAGATTGGCTGAGTTTCTGCAGCATTCTGTGTTTGCTTCAGATATCCTGCATCTCCAGTATTTTGTTTTCATTAGAAGAAAGGCTGCCTGATTTACTGATGCCCTTACTATCCAGGAGAGAGTCCTCCTCTTCCTGACTGGCCAACTCATTCCGCATCTCTAGGACATGCTCAAGTGCCACCTGCAGTTTGCGTGGTAGAATGGTATCTTCATCATCCACCTGAACAAATAAAGAAACAAGCAGTGAGCAGCAGGTACTGCAAACAGCTGTATTTGTTACCATTTAGGTCTGTGGCAGTGATGCCTTAAGTATCAGTGATATGACATATCAGTGATATGACTTCAGAAGAATGAGGGGAGATCTTATAGAAACATATAAGATTATGAAGGGAATAGGTAAGGTGGAGGCAGGGAGGTTGTTTCCGCTAGCAGGTGAAACTAGGACTAGAGGGCATCGCCTCAAAATAAAGGGAAGCAGATGTAGGACTGAGGTCAGGAGGAGCTTCTTCACCCAAAGGGTTGTGAATCTGTGAAATTCCCTGCCCAGTGAAGTGATTGAAGCTACCTCGCTGAATGTTTTTAAGGCAAGGCTAGATAAATTTTTGAACAGTAAAGGAATTAAGGGTTATGGTGAGTGGGCGGGTACATGGAGCTGAGTCTCAAAAAGATCAGCCATGATCTTATTAAATGGCGGGGCAGGCTCGAGGGGCCAGATGGCCTACTCCTGCTCTTAGTTCTTATGTTCTTATGTTCTTATGAAGACAGCAATAACATTGAGTTGGCAGCAATGCATCATGCAATACTGAGCATTTTCGAATATCTTTCAGCAGCATCAAAATATTTTGTGTCACCACTGAAAGAAGGAATGCTGGGATGTTCTCCCTATGTCCTGGCCTTATTTCTCAACCAGCACAATCAGAAACCATATAAATTAGTGATTCATATCACTGCTTTTAGAAGCATCTTTCTTCATTCAAATTGGTTGTTATATTTGCCTTCAAATAGCAGTAATTACAATTCATTAGTTATTAAATGTTTTTTGAATATTCTTAAGATGAAAAAGGAACTATATAAACACAGCAGTCTCTGCTTCTACTCTGTAAATAAATTTTGACTTTATCCACTAGTGTTGAATATTGATAGACATTGGCAGGCCACTTCTGATCTTTCCTGGTTTTTACTTGCATTGAGACTATCACCTGTTCTATACATTTGCACACTGTTATAATTCTGCACTATATGCCAATATTGAGGGGGGTGTGAAGCTAAGAGTTGGTGGAATACTTCATGGCTTTCTTTTCAATTTCCTACTCGTCCTCCATTGTAGGAATGTGGACAGTTTTCTGCCATCTGTCATCACATCTGAAATAAATGTGGCACTCACCTGTCTGAGAAATTTGTTTGTCCCAAGATTAACCACCAGGACCTGCAAAAAGAAAAATAAAGCAGCTTCACTCCTTGCCTCTGCTTGAAGACAGAATTTCCATTTTACCAGTCATCAATAATAATAATTTTGGCCATAACATGAGAGGACAACGACCAGCTCACATAATTCCTTAAAGCGGGAGAAGTTTTTGCTGTTAGGCATAACCCTCATGTAACTAATCTGACCAACCTGGGTAAAAAAAAGGTGCAAGGCTGGATGAACACAGCAGGCCAAGCAGCATCATAGGAGCAGAGAGGCTGACGTTTCGGGCCTAGACCCTTCATCAGAAAAGGGGGAGGGGAAGGGGGTTTTGAAATAAATAGGGAGAGAGTGGGAGGCGGATAGAAGAGGGATGGAGGAGAGGATAGGTGGAGAAGAAACAAACAGGTCGAAGAGGCGGGGATGGGGCCAGGAAAGGTGAGTGTA